ATGACAATTAAATAAAATGAGTTCAGATTTGCGTAACTTGGATTAGGTGTAAAGGATGTGTAAGTGGGATATTGGATACTGAATTCTGGGTATATGGTTATGTGATGGAATTACAAACATTTACATAAAATAATATATAGAGAAAGTACAAGATGCATTTGTGTGGATAATAAGAAAATTACGCTTTTAATTCCTTAATTATTTTAAGGATTAACTTTAATTAAAAAAATATTTGAATTCTGTCCGAGGAGTTGTGAAAGATGAATATAAATGGTTTTGTATAGAAATAAAGACATGAAGATGTTAGTGTGTTACATTTAATGATAAGATAAATAAATAAATAAAAATAAGTTCTGTGTTTTTATAAATTTCTGAATCCATCGAACATAAATGCAATTTTAAATTATTATTACTTCCATAAATTATACATTGTGACCGAAAAGTTTTCGGAAATTCTCATTTAAAATTCGCGCGCTGTATATTTTTCGATATTTTAAGTTTATGTAGTTTGGCAGCACTGTCCTTAATTACTATGCCAAAAATGAGCGCGATCTGTCGGACAGTTCGTTTACGGCAGCTGTTGAAACCAGTTCACCTCAGTAGTGCGTTGCGAAAAAAACAATGGAAAAAAATATTGAACAAAGAGTTTGCATCAAATTTTGTTTTTCGAACGAAATTTCGTGTGCAGAATCGTTGCGAATGCTACAAAAGGCTTATGGGGAATCAGTTTTATCGAAAACTCAAGTTTATGAGTGGTACAAAGCCTTTCAGGACTGTCGTACGACCGTCGAAGACATGCCGCGTTCTGGACGACCTTCGACCTCTACCACCGACGAAAACATTGAAAAGGCAAAGGAAATCGTGTTCAAAAATCCTCATGTGAGTGTTAGAGAGATAGCACGAGAGCTAGGCATCGGTCGTGAGATGGCTCGTTTGATTTTGGTGGACAATTTGTGTATGCGACGTGTCAACGCCCGGCTTGTTCCGATTCACCTCAATTTGTTCAACATTATCAACGATTTTAAGGCCAAACATTCAATAAATACCATCGAACAGCCACCGTATTCACCTGATCTTGCACCGTGTGACTTTTTCCTGTTTCCCAACCTCAAATTACCACTCAGAGGAACGCGTTTTGAATCCATAGAAGACGTAAAACAGAATTCGCAGAGGGAACTCAAAGCCATACCGGAAAGCGCCTATAAAAAATGTTTTGATGATTGGAAGAAACGTTGGCATTTGTGTATCGCTTCTAATGGAGCATATTTTGAAGGAGATAAAATAAATATTGATGAAGATTAAGAATTTTGCGTTTTATTTAAAATTTCCCGAAAACTTTTCGGTATGTATAGGTATATAAATCAAATGTTGCATTATTTGTGAAGAGTATTCAATTTACCATTATAACTAGCCGCAATGCGAAATAGACGAACATAATTAATGAATGTAGATTTAGCCAAGTCTTGCTCATTGACCGCTTTTCGCCACATCCTCCAATAATAGTCCAATTCAACTAATCGTTTTGTGCGTGCGAGGTGGTGCAAAATTGTCGGCACCATGGCAACGGGCTTTGAGCAGTCTTTGACATGTTGTACATGGCATACCATATGCGCGGTTAGAAAACCATTCATAATGCGCAGCATGTCTTTAGCTTCTTCATAATCGGTCTTGCGCAGACCAAAGAGTTGCAGTTTTGATAGACGTTGCACTTGGCGTTGGAGGGTATGATTCTTGAGTTGGGTAACGGGAATAACGCTTAGATTTGCTGCAAGTTCATATACTAAATTACGGTAAGCATTATCTATTTCATGTTTAATGGGCGCTTGATTGATGAGATTGTAACCACGTCCCTTTGCCAAGTTCACAAAGATATCGTGTCTTACAGTCCATATTTTCTGCATTCGTTTCGTCGCATCATCTAAAATGTTTGTGGCATGATATTCATAATCTGTTGTTTTGCCAACTGTTGATGTTTTATTTTCTTTCAATCCTCTGACAGTGAGGAACACCGAAATCTATAGTTATTGAATCTTATGAAATGCATATGAATAATTTGATATAAAAAATTTTAAATAATTACCAGGAAATATAGTGCGAATAGATGTCGACATTTTAGTAACCACATTTCTATTGAGTTTAATCGAAGTAATTGAAATATTTCAGGGTACAATCCACTTTTACTAATTACACAAAGATTATCTTAGTTTTATTTATAAGTTACACAGAATTTTATATATTAAATTATTTAACTAAAATATGATTTTTGGCGCGTATACGTATATCTCTTTAGGAGTATAAAATCTGACTACTAATGATAAGTATAGTAGGCGAGGTGCATAGGAATTTTATAGTTTATTGTATTGTTCATTGAAAAAAATTTTTCTTTAAAAAAAATAAAAAAAATTCTTATCTCACTTCCTTGGGTTATATGTTTTTTTTTGTTTATATTTCAATGCAGAAGCTGAAATTTATAATAGTAAATATATTTCTTTTGTTTACATGTGAATAAGTACATATTTTTATTTATTACTACATATGTTATATGTAAATATATTTGTGTGTATTGAGTTGTTAGACGTTTAATCACAACTTGACATTGAACTCTTTTTTTTACTATTATAGAGAATAAATATTTTATTAATATATATGTAACTATATGAGACCGGCAGTAAAAGTTTTATTCTCCCTCTAAATTAAGTAATTTCCAAGATTGCTTAGAAATTAAAATTTTGAAGCTTTTATATCACTTAAATAAACTTTTCGACTTAATTAAAAAGATTGCGACAATGTAAATGAGGTGGACTTCAATCTCTTATTAAAGGAAAGTGCGGAAAATATTTTTATTAAATTGATTTTTAACATTCGTTTTTATGAAAGAAACTCAATTCTTTATATGAACTGTTGTTTTCAACAGAGAGGCATTTCAAACATTAATTTAATTTTATTAACTGAATGGAAGTAATAAATAATAAAACTTCAGTAACATAACTCCAGAAAAATGTGCGAACATAAAAAGTTAAGTACGACTTTGAGTCAGTTGGTTAAGGTGCGCTGACTCTGAGCTTCAAATTTGGCAGCGCACGAGTTCGATTCCTGGTACTTGCAGTCTCTAATTTACGAATATTTAAATTCAAGAATTATTTCCAAGACCAGTGATGATGTGTATTTGGCAATACTCAAAACAGCTGAATGGTCAGCCAAAAATTCAATTAATTAAAATAATATAAAATGAGTTTTTGTTATTGTAGTTCGCTAATGTTCGAAAAAATCTCTTTATTAATAATAAAACTTTTGTTTCACTGAAACAAATATTTTTTTTATATTTTAATAAAGATAGAGTATGATTAAATTAAATACATTGACAAAAAACAACCCATAAGGACTTTGGCTAGTCCTTCCACATAATTAAAATAATTTTATTGATATATTTAAGAGATTATTATTATTTTACTTAAAGCGGCAAGTTTTCAAGTTCTTTGATATGAAACATTCACAAAGGTAGGTACGTAAGATTGCGTGCTCGGAACCACAAAAAGACAACTTAGACTGTTGGTAATATCTATGCATATTACTTAAGATGTGTGACTTTTAAGAGATTGTTAACTTCAGTCGTAGAAACAAAGTTCAGCTAGTGATTTAGAATGGGTTAAAATCTTCAAAGAATTTTGATCGAAAGGTGATTTTCCGAAGTTTCTTTAATAGTTCATAAAATATAAAACGTTTCTTTAAACACACAAAAAATTAAATTTTTTTGTTTGTTGCCAATTTAGTGATTTAATTAAATATATCACACACAATTATATCACAAAATTTTCTAAAAAATAAATTATTTTATTTTTAAATTTATTATATTTTTTATATGCGAATAGTACACACTATGATTAACAATAAATATATCATATTTTAAATATTATTTTATTTATTTCATTAATAATTTATTTTTATTATTTCATATTATTTTATTTATTTTCAATTAATTAATTTGGTTATTTCACTATTTATATTAAACATCTTCATATTCATTTCTTTTGTACATAATATACACGAGTATAAAAAATTATGATGTATATATTTATAATAACATATATAACATTTACACATATTTTTCTTATTATTTATACAACATACTTTTTTTTATTTTGTACAATTCGAGATAAAATAAAAATTTTGATGCGTTTAAGTTTAGTTTGATCGTTCATAAAATCGAAACAAAACTGAATTCGACGTTCTCTTTGAAGATCAAGAACCCTTCACTAAAAAGTTTGTATTTCTTGAGAGTTTCTTATCAATTTGAAATTAACTCAAGAATTTTAATTAATTAAAACACAAATTTTTGCGCTCAAACATCTCATTATTAGATTAAAATTATTTTATACAATATTATTTAAATCCTCTAAGCAAATTTTTTAGTTAAAATCTCGTTTTATTTCATTTCCACATAAAAATATCTTTTACATTTTAAACAGAGTGAGTTGCTTTTTAAAATAATTATATAAAAATGCAGAACCATTAATTTTTCAATGCAGAAAGTCTAAGATATTATTTACAAATAAATACTAGAGAGGTTTAGAACACTATTCTATTAAGTAAAATAGTTACTGCTGTCATAACTGACATTAAAATAAAATTTAATACAAAAAATAAATAATAATAATAATAAAAAGGTGATAGAAGTTACGAGGCCCTATGATCCAGTGGGCGATGAGGAGGACAGAAGAGAAGAGGAAGATATAAGTTTTCAATGTAGACAACCACTATATTTTTAGTTGGAAACCACACCACTGTTGTCATTCCTTTTGCTAATGTAAAGCTTAGGGTATGTCCGGTTCATTTTAATAATATTTAATTTATCCTTCACTCAATATATATAAGTTTTTTATCATTCCAAAAATAATGACCCTCTAAAAGTTCCATTATTTATTATTAGCAGACATCTGCTTCACCATAAAAACCAGCTGAAGTTACCAATTAGAGTATTTACATATTCCTAGTATCTTTATCTCTTATATAGGCTGTAATTATGTAAGCTGGGTTCTAAATGTTATCTGAGCAAAAATGGCAGTTGGAACTATAAAGCAACTATAAAGCAACTAGCAACTATAAAGCATTATAAATATTCACGACTACGTTGATATTCAATACGAAACTATCAATCGGAACTCTAAATCTTCAGCTAATCAAATAATATATACCTATATAATTAGGTGTTTGTTTGATTGATTTTTTGGTGAGATCCTACCGAAGTTAGTGTTCTTTAGGGTAGTTGTCTTTGATTTATGGTTAAGGAACAAACATTGTTCAGTTTTAATATTTTGCTGCAAGAGAATAGAAAAAAATAATCTCTACCCACCAACACTTTCTAGATTCATTGGCATTTGTTTAGCTAGCAAGCTTGAAACATCATATGATGTTGTACAGTATGCTCGATAGACACGAAGGTTGGACAGTCTGTGAGCACTATTTATTACTCGTCAATATTAATTTAAGTATTTGTGTTTGTTAAAGGTTTATAAATAGGTTGTATTCAGTTTTAGTATCCTACATATTATTCGCGTCCATTACAGTAAAGAGTCATAGGAGTAATAAATATTTCAATGCCTTTTGCTATAAGAAAAACAGAAAATAAATACCAACTAACTCTTCAAAATAAAAGAAAGTCGTATCACTCTATCATGAAAATATTTATTTTCTTTAATTGAAGTATATACAAATAAAATTATTAAGACATTAAATATTTATAGCTTGAAAACTATAAAAAATTGCGATTTTATTCTTTCGTCAAATTGTGCAGTTGTGTTTATTGTGCCTTTGTGCATCCTTTTAAATGAAACACGAATTATAATTTTAAAAAAAAAATACTTAAAAATATGAAACTTACTATCTGTTGCAGTCCAGCCGACTTGCAAATTTTTACTCAAGTTATCCTCACTCAACCATTCGTTTATTGAATTGTAGTATTCTATGAAGGCTGTTCCTGTAAGATGAGTCAGCTTACGCACAGTAAGGGGTTTTATAATTTCACGCCATGGTTTGCTGGAACCAGCAGACATCATTTCACTGTAATTGACAATAGACATATTTGTGAAAATAATTTCCAATATTAATGTGATAAGAAATTACTTTAGAAGATGTCCTACTTGTTTGTTACCAGCAAGATCGCAATTGTCCAGAGTTTTGTAGGCATTGCCTCGTTGGTACTCACCAATGTTTAGACACACTGCGCGATAGATTTGATAACCCAAAAATTCACCAAAGATTTTTCTGACAAAAGAATGTAAAAATTTCTTATTACACTTCCACTCCTTTCATTTTTCACTTAACTGAACTCACTTGGTACTTCTAAACTGATCCACTATGCCTTCATAAAACTTGTAAGGCATGTCGTATGTACTGCCTTCTTCGTTCTCTACTGGCTTACCTACACCCATATACTTCTGCATTAAGTTCCAATAATGACAGTTGATGTCTACTATGCTTATATTCTTATTAATTATATCCACCCAAAGTTTTTCGTGCACAAAGTACGTGGGAATTGTGAGTAAACTGTGCACTGCCTATAAAATTTATAATTTCCGCATAATTACACATAATGATGGTATTAATCGTTTTACGATATACTTACAAGGCGGTATAGGCGATTTGTGTTAAGTAAATCATCATATTCATAGTCCTTCAATAACCCTAAGCGCTGTTGTAGATGTTTCGGTGTAGACACTGACAAAATTACTGCCTCTCCTAATGCATTGCCAAAGCCGGGGCTTGCTTCCTGATTTAAACCGACGCTCAAGTTATTTTTTGCCAGAGCATATTGGATCGTAGACACATCTCCGTGGGTTTGTAATAGCTTTTTATAATAAACTTTGGGGCAATAATTCATTTCAATTTCACCAAAATCAAATATGCGTGACTTGCAATCTGGACCTCCACTTCCAGGTTCCATTTCAATAAAATGATCATGCATGAAATTTCTAAAAATATGAAATTAATATTTGTTATGCTTAACTTAAGTAACTGAAGAAGAAACTCACTCTGTTAAATTTTCAAAGCCAATTGATCCAAAAAATCGCGCACTTATATTTACTAAATCAAATGGAGAAAAGCCAGCATCATCCAATTCGGATTGCAAATTTGGCAACTTATTCTCAGGGAAAGGATTTCTCAGCACTGAGTCCTTCTTCCACGATTGATACGTGACTTGCTCCATGAGGTGATGTGGTATAAGGCCAGTTGGTGGGATTATATCTTTACCATACTTAATGCGTAATACATGACGCAAATGTGCATGCATTTCTCGATAAAATGGACCTATAGTTTCCATAAGGCCTTCTAATTCAGTAAGGAAGTTTGTGTCTTCGTATTGATCATACCAATACTTAGATGCAGTTTCATTAGCTACTGTTAAGTTTCTATAGTAATCAATGTAGTAATGAAAAGCCTGAATTACGTCCAAGGGTAACTTGTTGCGCCACTCCCGCCAATAATATTTAATCTCATTTAAATTATCGCTGTTTGTAAAAATCGTTTTAATTTGGTGAACAAAGGCCATTTTACATTTTTGTGGTTCTTCCCTTTTACACACCCACTTGCGACGAGACATACCCTTAAGTAGTTGCGTGGCGCGCTTAAACTTATGATCAATGGGCGGGTAGCTTGCCCCTCTCAAAATAACTTGAAACTGCCGCTTCAATAAAGGATCGTTAAAATTCTTCCAATCATATTTTTGCATAGTGTCATAGAATTCGCGCAACTTTTCACGCATTAGTATCTCCGGGCTTAAAGTGTCATCGGCGAATCTACGATAAGCGGTCGCGCTTTTCCAGTAGACATCGTCAATTCGTTGCATAAGATTTCTTGCGGACTCCTCATCGAGTGTGTTATTTCCAGTTGTGATATTTTGACCTTGAATTAGGTCAGTTAATGCTAACAGCTGCAACATATGATAAAGGAAAGAATATTATAAAAACAATCTTTGAAATTTTATAGCCTAAATTATTTTACCACTGTTATCAGAAGGAACTGATATTTAAGCATTTTGTTTCTCAACTGAACCGAAAGGTTCCACTGCAAAACTAAAACTGAAAGTTTTCTTGATCAAAATATCAAAGCAAATAATTTGCTTGATTCTTTCGTTTCAATTAAAATCTGTAGATAACCCTTACCCCAACCTGCGATTAATTTTAGTTTTCTCAAAAGTATTAAAATTTGACTGAAAACGAAAATGAAATACGAATCTTCTTTTTGATATTCTCATTTATTAGGTAAGGTTAGTTCAAATCGAAATAATAGAAAGTGAATCTTATTTATTTTTACTAAGCACTTTTAATCCATATTGTAAATTGTTTTTATATTGTTTATTATTTATATTATCACATTTAAAAAAATATTTATTTTACTGTTTCAATAACAAATCAACTTCTTGAGAGAATGATGGACGAATTTGGAGAATTCCTACTTATTGTGTTATATTCATCTTATTAAAAAATTGAAAAAAAAATAAGTTTATTTTAATAAAGTTGATTTAAGTGTTAGTTAAGCTAATTTAATTTAAGTGTTAGTTGAGATAAGAAACGGTAAGGTTAAAGACTATATCAAATCAAGTAAAAATTTGATTTAGTCACTTTGAGCATTCGAAAAAAAGTGGAATAAATAATGTCATCTCCAAATATATATCATTAATGCGAAGATGTTGTAAAGTGGATTTATATATGTGTTATAAATTATAAAGTTGAAAAAAAACATTTCGGAAATCTATATAGTTCCGAAACGATGATTTTTAATATTTTTAATAAAATATGAAACAGTGCGTTAAAGAAAAGTGTATAGTATCAAAAAATGGGACCACTATTAAATACACTATATAAATTTTTGAAAGTAACGATCTTTAAATGGTATGTATGAATACTTTGTAACAATACAGGTATTCGGACCGAATTTTTTTCAGTCGTTGTATCACTTTATTAACTGGGTAATCGGAAAAGTGACAAAACGACAAACGTCTGAAAGTTCCTTTTTAATTGTTTCTCGGTAAAGTCTTGACATCTAAAATTCTGATTACTGATTACTGATTTTATTGTTATTTGTTAAAGAGACAACATAAAAGTAAGAAAATAAAAAGAAAAAGGTGGTTAAGAAAAGTGAAATTAAAGTAAAAATTGTTCACATATTTAATTTTTTTTCTATTTATATTTATTTATAAACAAAATTATACAAAATTTTTAGGATGCATGTCCCGGTATTCGATAATCTCATTATAATCATAATTTTACAAAAACAAATACTCATGAAATTAAATCACATTACCGAGTTACAAAGCTACCAAGCTTGTCTGAATACATTTAACCTGACGTTTAGTTTAAATTGCTACTTTCGCAATATGGTGACCCTATTCTCAACTCAAACGCAACTTTTTGCCGATGGCCAATAGCCTAAAAAGTTTAATTATGACCATACCGATACTGATAACGATGAATTCTCTGAACGTCCAAATTCAGTTGAGTCTCCAGAACACATAGCTGTTATTTCATAATAAAAAGGGGTATTCAAAATCTGAACTGTGTTTGCTTACAGTGGACCAAAATCCACAAGCTGAAAATGGCAACATATGCTGTTTGAAGCCATCTCAGCACAGTTAGAAACTTTTTTTATGCAATTAATTCTTAGAGAATTGATTGGTGCTCTGTTTCAGCAAAAGTGGATGTGGACTAAAAATGGACTGTTTAATCCCAACATTAAGCCTTATGAAAATGCAGTACCAACTACACTTGAGGCAAATTTGAAAATTAAAATTACAGTCGTAAATACCAGGTACAAAGTCTATAGGCTGAGAACTCTATGCTATCAAAACCAAGTTTTATGAAACCTTCAGAAAGTAGTTAGATAGGATTTGAAATAACTATAGAAAACATATAGGTATGTTTTTCACTTCCAAAGAGACAGCTTTTGTGTAGCAAAAGATCACCTACAATGATCATCAAAATAAATAAAAACTACGTTTTTGGAGTACTAAAACTATTATAAGGTCAATCCTCTAATATGTATGTAAAATATGGATAACATAGCTAAAGCAATGGATTTCAATCAACTTAATATATTTAAAAGTAAAATAATACGAATATATTCGAATCAATAAAATTACCTGACTTTACTTGTCGAAATCACTAAACTCTTAATTAAAAAATCGCAACCTATATTGAGACCTGGTTTGGTTGGTTGGGACCTGCTTTTTCTATGTTTGAGGCACACAAATCATAAAAATCTCGATTTTTGGAAACTCAAACACAGACCTAGAGTACTCCTAAGGACAAAGAATGTTAATGATTATTCTAAAGTACCACACGAGATAGATATTTAGAAACGCTTTAGTCCACGTTAGGTTGTAATGTTTGCTTTAAATAATCTGATATAATCTCTTAAATTAATTTCTAATTATAGCAATAATTTCACTTTTATATTATAATATTATTATTTACATATATTTTTTTTTTTCTTAAAAAAAAACAAATTATTTAATTAAAAAATTTTATTTTATAACATTGGAGCGTAGGCGCTACTGATAGCCCAATTTAGTTGAAGGTAAACATTAAATAATATTTGCCGGTCATTATGACCGCGATTTGTACGTTTGAGCAAAAAAAGAGACTTATTTAAACAATAAATAATTATTAAAAAATAAACACGTCTTAATTTCTTGAGATTTTAATATGATAAAAATTATAAAATAATTATAATAATGGGAAATTCAAAAACAAAAAAATTGGTTTTGTTGTGCAGAAGAATTTTGTATGTGTGTGTTTTTAAATAAAATTTGCCGGTAGTTTCTTCACAGTATATGGACTGTAATATGAATGTTATGTTACACTGTTAAGTTGCGTTCCACTGTTAATAACATAATTTGCATATACTTGACCACATAGCATTTGTGCGTTTTTGCTTTATATAAATTATTTATTATTATTTTATATAAATATATATGCAAATATTTAATTTTTTGTATTTCCGTATGCTTTATACATTTAAAATCTTTAATTTTTTAAGCAAATAATTTGCGTTTATTGGAGACTATATTAATTAATAAACGTTTATTGGAGTAAAATAAGTAACCACAAGAAAATATCATTTTATTTAATAACATTTATTAAATAAATATAGATAATAGAATTAAATTCAACAAGATATATATTTCTCTCATATTTAGCTCGAAATATGAGTGTTCGATATTATTTAATTATTATAATATTTGATATTAATATTATTATTTAATATATTTAATAAGTAATTGTTTGAGTATGAGTATGAAAGACAAAAATTTTATACAGACAATGCCTTCAAAATAATAATAATGCACTGATTTATTAAATAATAAATTTTTATATAATAATTTAAGGATATATAAGAATATTTTGAAAATTTAACATTGAATTTTTAATTGGACTTTAAATTATTAATTAAGTTGGTTTATTGTTATTTCGTTTTGTGTTCAGATAATTTTAAAGAATATAGAAATCTAATTTTCCTCAATTCATATCCATATAGTTTTCAAACTAGCAAAGATTAACAGATTAAGTATCAGATGTAAATATATGTGACGGTCTAGAGCAGTGTTTTTCAATCTTTTTTATTTATTGCCTTACTCAAAATCTTTTTTAACCATACAACCCCCTAGCGTGTGTTAGCGAAAGCGTGGTTGACATGGTAGCAGAAGTTATATAGTTTTTGTATGTTTATTAGTTGCTATTAGAAATAATACGGTATAGCTAATTATAATAAGGTTTTTTCTTTGCTTGTGATATGTTGACAAGCAGTGGTATTTAATGCCATAACTAATCGATGTTACTTTTAAGTTTCTTTACAAAACTAACATCCAAATTAATATAATCTGCATCCACTATAATATCTTAAAGAACGCATCCTTAAGTAATCAAATTGTTTCTCTGGTTCTCTTCATATACGATTTTATTTCCAATACATCACCTACTGCTTTATATCTTTTGATAGAATAGGAATACATCATAGGTACTAGATGTAAATACTATAATAATTCTTAAAACTAACTTATCTTAACTTAACTTATAACTTATATAATGAAATATATAAAACAGCTGCTCAGAAGGAATTTTTCGATGTGATCATTTTCAGAAACTCTGAAATGTTTATTATTAGTGCTCCTCAGTAAAAGAAATCAAATTTATTTTTTTATAGACGTAGTCATGTATGAAAATGGCAATAATTAATAAGTTTTATTAATTTTAATAATCAAATCTTTGCTTTAAATTTACTTACTAAGCTCTATTATGTTGGAAACGGCTTTAGTGTATAAATAAATTAAAATTAAATAAAATTAAAGAAAAAAAAAATAAAGTAAAATAAGATTATATGAAGTAATATAGAATTAGAAAAATGATATAAAATAAAAAATAAAATTAAAAACTAAAATAAATTGAAATAAAATGAAATAAAACAAACTGATATGAAGTAAAATAAAATAAGACAAAAAATAAATATATTAATATAAAATAATAATTTTGTTTTTGACCTTGATGTACATTGTTAACCTAAAGATGACTATAGAATATAATCAAAATATTGGTTTAAAAAAATGTTAAAAACTAATTTTTATTTAAAATTGCTTTATGTAACCATAAACCAATTAGTTTGTTAAAATAAAATTATTATTAAAAAATTTTGGTTATTAAAACAATAAATTATTAATAATATGAAATAAAATAAAATAAAACAAAAACCAAATAATACGAAATACAATAAAATAAAACAAAATAAAACAAAATAAAATAAAATATTAAAAAATAAAATTAAATGATATAAAATAGCATAAAATAAAATATAATAATATTAAATAAATAAAATAAAAATTATTCAAGCAAAACAAAAAAAAATTAAAATAAAATAATACTCGTAAATCCATTCAACAGTGATTTAATTGTAAGAGTTGGTTATTATGCTTAGATCAAAAGATTATTACAATATATTTTTTCATAACGGAGTATTTACTCTAATAGATGATACTGGACTAATAGTGAAGAAATTTAAT